ATAATAGTGTTTGAATTCCTAGATGGTCTAAATTCTGAATATGATATTGTGAGACAACAATTGTTGACAAGAGACTATGTAACTCTATCCCAGGCCTATTCCTTAGTGCACAATGAAGAGACTAGGTGAAAAGTTATGATGCAGCAACAACCTTTTGAATAAGCTCTGACAGCAGTTAAGCCCAAATCTGGGGGTGATAAGGAAAGAGACATGAAGAAGCAAGCTAAGAAGGACCTAGTATGTGAGTATCGCAAGAAACCTAAACATACTAAAGATATCTGTTGGAAGTTGCATCCACATCTAGTTCTAGCAAAACTCAAAAACAAAAAGGGGAATGCAAATATGGCTGTTAAAACTGATAGTGCAACCTCATCTAGCACAAGAGGCACTCCTCTAGACACCCTAGTTGTTGTCTGAGCTGCTATAATTCAGCTGGAAAATGAAGTTGGTAATTTAGTTCCACCACCTCAGACACCATCAACACTCCCTACCTCAGCTTTTGCTCATTCAGGTAATCGGGCCTCAGGTACAGGTAATACAGAACATTTATGGATAATAGATTTAGGAGCATCTGACCATATGACTGGCTTGCCATCACTTATCTTCCGGTAGAGACAGTGTCCATTGCTGATGGTTCTCTCGTTCCTATTTCTGGCAAGGGAGACATCAAGTTGTTTAATGCCATTTCCTTATCTTCGGTTTTGCATTTTTCTAAGCTTAGTACTAACTTGCTTTCAGTTAGTAGCATTACAAAAAACTAGAATTGTTCAATAACCTTTTTCCCGGATCAATGTGTTTTTCAGGATCTAGAGACAAGGAAGGTGATTGGGATTGGCCGTGAGGCAAATGGAGTTTATCTGCTTGGAGGGAGTTCTCATTGGGAAAATAGTGAGACTAAGAGGTCTTGTGTTTCTCAGTCTGTTGATCAGGCTATGCTTTGGCATAATAGGATGGGTCATTTATCTTTTCGGGCTTTGAAGAATTTGTTTCCCAGTTTATTTGAATCTATCCAGATGTCTAGTTTGAAGTGTAAGAGTTGTGAACTTGCAAAACACTACAGGACAACCTATTCATTAAGTAATAATAGAAGTAATATTTCCTTTGAAATTGTGCATACTGATGTTTGGGGACCTTACCATACCACTACCATGGGGGGGGTTACAGATATTTCCTACTGTTTGTTGATGATTATACTTGTTTTTCGTGGGTTTATCTCATGCGTTCTCAAGATGAGGTTCCAACATTAACCTGAATATTTCATTAAATGATTTTAACCCAATTTGGGGTCAAAATCAAAATTTTTAGATCTGATAATGCGAAAGAATATTTTGCAAACCCATTAGCCTCCTATTTGCTTGAAAATGGGATTATCTATCAAAGTGCCTGTCTTCATACACCACAACAGAATGGGGTTGCTGAAAGAAAGAATAGACACATATTGGAGATGGCCAAAAGCATTATGTTTACCTCCAATATGCCTATACGTTTCTGGGGGGGAAGCTATTTTTACAGCAGTATATCTCATCAATAGGTTTCCTTCACAGGTTCTTGACATGAAACCTCCATTTACCCTCTTATATCTTGATAAAGAGTTATTTACCGTTCCCCTTAAAACCTTTAGTTGTACATGCTTTGTTCAGATTCTTGGCCCTCATCGTTCCAAATTTGATCCTAAGGCCTCAAAATGTATTTTCCTTGGTTATGCACAAACTCAAAAGGGATATTGCTGCTATGAACCTACTTCTGGGAAAAGATTTGCCTCAATGGATGTCACTTTCTTTGAAGATGTACCCTATTATCCAAGGGTTTCTCCTCAGGGGGAGAGTAGTGAGGTTGGGATTAACTCGTCAGAAGTTCCTTTACCTGTCCCATTAAGTGAAGAGGGATGTAATGGGGAGGGTTGTCAGAGGTGCAAGGATGCGAGTGTCTATCACAGACGATGGAGGTAGGTTGATTTTGGTCATCAGCAGTCCAGGCCAACCCAGTTCCTTCTACAGATCTAGATCTAGGTACCACAGTCTCTTCACCAAATACTACAGATGAGAGATCTTCCACCATGGAGCCTTCACTTTCATTGAATGACCTTGACCTTCCCATAGTAGTCTGTAAAGGCAAACGCCGTTGCACCACATCCACAGTTCACTGCATTTCCCAGTTCTTGTCCTATGAACATTTGTCTCCCTCCTACAAGTCTTTTCTTGCATCTATTGCTGAAATTCCCATTCCCAGAACATTACAAGAAGCCTTGTCAGTTCCTGAGTGGAAAGATGCAATAAAAGTAGAAATGGATGCCCTCATTAGAAACAATACCTGCGAGATAGTTGATCAGCCTAAAGGGAAGAAACCGATTGGATGTAGATGGGTGTTAACTGTGAAACATAATGCTGATGGTTCCGTTGAAAGGTATACGGCCCAATTAGTTGTAAAGGGGTTTACTCAGACATATGGTATTGATTACTTGGAAACTTTTGCACCAGTAGCAAAGATGACCACTATCAGAGTCCTATTATCTCTTGCAGCCAATTACTCTTGGCCGTTGTATCAGATTGATGTTAAAAATGCCTTCCTCAACGGAGACTTGCAAGAAAAAGTTTACATGCAGTTGCCTCTTGGATTTTATGGTATAGAGATAGGAAATAAGGTTTATCGGTTGAACAAAGCCTTATATGGACTAAAATAGTCCCTCAGAGCTTGGTTTGATAGATTCAGACGAGCCCTTGAAAGGTTCGGATATGTACAGGCCTAGTCAGACCACACCTTGTTTATTAAGAGAATGGATACTTCTTTAACCTTGCTTGTTGTATATGTGGATGATATTATAGTAACAGGAAATGATAATAGTGAGGTTGATTCCCTTAAGCAACTCCATCAAGAGTTTGAGGTAAAAGATTTGGGAGAACTACGATACTTCTTGCGCATTGAGGTAGCCAGATCCAAGCATGGGATTTTTGTTTCTCAAAGAAAGTATGTTCTTGACCTATTGGAAGAAACAGGAAAGTTGGGTGTTAAGCCTGCTGACACACCTATTGAACAAAGTCACAGGATCAGTGTAGAAGGTGGAGAGCCCCTTGAAGATAAAGCTATGTTCCAACGGTTAGTTGGAAAACTTCTCTATCTTTGTCTCACTCGACCCGACATCAGTTATGCAGTCAATGTGGTTAGTCAGTATATGCACTCTCCTAGGACTACTCACCTCCTTGCAGTTGAGAGAATACTAGCATATTTGAAGAGGTGCCCAGACAGAGGCATTTTATTCAAGAATAATGATCACATGAAGATAGAAGTTTACACAAATGTTGATTGGGCTGGGTGTGTTGATGATCGAAGACCTACCTCTGGATATTGTGCTTTTGTAGGAGGTAATCTTGTATTTTGGAGGAGTAAGAAACAAAATGTTGTTTCTCGTTCCAGTGCTGAAGCTAAGATTCTATGGTTGAGATAATTATTTGAGGAGTTAAGTATTGTTTATGAGAAACCCTTGATGTTGTATTGTGATAATCAGGCTGCCATCAATATAGCTCATAATTTGGTACAACACGACAGAACTAAGCATATTGAAGTGGATTGACATTTTATCAGAGAGAGGGTTACATCTCAAGAAGTATGCCTTCCATACATCACCTCCGACATGCAGCTGGCAGACCTTCTCACCAAGACGGTTTCAAGGAAGAAGTTAGAGGCAGATTTCTGCAAGTTGGGAATGACAACTATCTATTCCCAACTTGAGGAGGAGTGTAGAGAACACTAATGTGGATCTCACTAAGGTGGTCCTCGTATGTCAGCAATAAGTTATGATTAGGATTAGTCTTTTATGATAAGATTAGGATTAATCTTTTATGATTTCAGCTTTATCTTATCTTGCCATGTAAGCAATTCAGTCCTTTTATAAGTATGATACTATGTATATAAATTTAAGAGTGGGGTGGCTGTTTCAAAACACCCAACTCTCTCTTTTCTCAAAATCTCTCTCTCTCTTCTCCCTATTCTTTCTTATTCTTTTCTTATTCTTTTTTCTTCTCTTGTAAGTGTTTGTTCAATCTTGAACGACTACTCTTTACAGTGCTATAGTGTGGTTAAAATCTCTGGATTTATTTAGGCAGTTTTCTTTTAATGACCTGTGGAGGCATTGGGCAGAAGTGGCAAGCAGTTCCTCTCTGAAGACAAAGATGCACATGAGTTGGGTACTTGGGTACTTAACCTGAAGGTTTCATGAAGTTAAAATTTGATGGTAGTAGTCTGGGCAATCTAGGTCTTTCTGGGATGGGAGGGGTTATAAGGAATGTAAGTGGTTCTGTAACTTTTCTGTTTTCTGGTCCTTTAGGTGAAGGGGACTCCATGAGGGCAGAACTATTAGCTGCACTACAAGGGGTACAGTTTGCTGTACAGCTAGGAGTGGAGCAGCTACTAATAGAAGGTGATTCTCAGGTGGTTAGAAAAACCACCAGAGACAACAGTTTGGTGCTTCAAAAATGAACTTAAAAGATTCAAATGCTTGATGAGGAATTTGGATGCTAGAATACAATGGGTAGGGAGATCTGCCAATGCTATGGTTGATTGTTTAGCTAAGCAAGGGGCAAATAGGGAAAATCTGTATTGGGCTCAGTTGTAATCCTTTTTAGTTCTTGATGGGTTGGAGAGGTTGCAGCTCGTACCTCTCCAAGTGTATTCTATATCAGTGGTTTATTAATAAATTCTTCATTTATCACAAAAGAAACCCATATCCAAATACAACATCACAGAGGACCCTATCACCAACCCCTAAAACAAACACAGTAGACTAAATATCCCAGAACCCAAATCCTGCCATAAGATACATATGAAAAACATCCTGAAACCAAACAACCCAACTGATGAAAAGCTCAACTTAAACTTTATCCATTTTCTCATCATGCTATTGTCTAATATAGAAATCTCTTGTCTCATCTGGGTAACTTTATTCATTCCTGTTCTATCTCAACTCTATGTTCACTAACATTCTCCTTGTCATTCTGGTTTTTGAGACAGGCTGTTGAGCTTGGACAAAAGCTGGCAAATAAACATTTCTTCCAGCATGTTCTTGAGTATGTCCCTTGTAATTGGCCCATCTCCAAATATGTTGAGTTTCAACTTAATACATAGTTTAGTTCTCTTACGTGTTTCTGATGAGATGACCCTTGCCTTTTCTTTATGAAATTTGCTGCCATGCTCCAGAGAGAATGTCTTTGAAGATGGTAACCACTTGTATCGGTTCCTGGATCATGATCCCCTTGTGTTGTCTCATTGTTACAATATTCCAAGGGGCATACTTGACGCCAAACCCAAGCCCATAGTTGAAATTGCATCAAGGTTGAGATTTTTGTCCTATGCAATCTTTGAAGCTTACACATCTGAAGATGGAAAACATATTGATTACAGAAGTATCCATGGCAGTGAGGAGTTTTCAAGGTCTGCTAAATCTTGAAATTTGAAGATACATGAAACATCTTAAATTCTTAATAATTGCCTGTTTTCCTAATTACTTTTGGCATTTGTAACTGCTATTTCTGCACAGGTATTTGAGAATTGTTGAGGAACTTCAGAGGGTGGAGTTGCAGGATATGTCAAGGGAGGAGAAACTTGCCTTTTTCATAAATCTCTATAATATGATGGCCATCCATGGAATATTAGTTTGGGGCTATCCTTTAAGTGCACAGGAGCGGCGGAAATTGTTTGGAGACTTCAAGTATGTTATTGGTGGAAGCACCTATTCACTTTCAGTTATTCATAATGGCATCTTAAGGGGAAATCAACGACCTCCATATAATCTCATAAGGCCATTTGGTGTGAAAGATAAACGTTCCAAGGTGAGTCAAAGCAATCCCTGTTGTGAGATTAGATATTGGAGGCTCCCCCCCCGTCCTTTTATTGGTATATGCAGAGAAAAAATGTTTCACTTTTGGTACTGATTGTGCCCATTCAAGGTAGTTTGTCCCATCTAATTTAACAGTGGTAATAGGAATTTTTGGTGCTTCACTGTAATCAGTAGTAGACCCCATTGCATAAGCTAGCATGATTGTTCAATTCTTTGCATTGGCAAGACCTTTCATTAGAACTACAAAACAAGTCTAGAACACAGCACACAATCACAGCTGCACCTGTAGTATCACAAGATATCATTCCATGGTCTTACAAGAAGTTAACACTTAACACTAAAACAGCACTTGGGATTTCAACACATAAATATTAAAACATATCAGAATCTGCCTCTATTTGATTTTGGCAATCACAAAATATATACTTAATCAAATTTAGTTTCCCAACATAGTTTTCTGTTCTCACCAGTTAGAAAACATCAAACACGATTTTCTGAAATTTCAAAATAGACGCTTCTCTACAAATTCATGCCTAAGCAGAAAAAATACTAAAGCAGCTAATAAAATGTAGGTGATTCAATAAGCCATGAAGAGATTGGTTAGTTCTTCAACCCACCATCAAGGTCATGTAGTTTCTACCTTATATTGCTCAAGAGAGAGATCAGATATAGAACCAATTGTTTAGGTAAATAAGCTATACTACCAACTTGTAAATCAGAAACTAATAGTACAACAAGAAGAGAGATTTACAAGCATTAATAAAATGACTGATCTGCCCTTCATGAACTCATAACAAAAGATCCAATTAATTTTACTAAGAAAAGACATGTACCTAATAAAGGAAACTGGGAAAGATAAAAGTACTAAACTACCCAATCAGCACCAGAAATAAATTATAACTAATTTATTCTCTACAAAATAAATATTGGAGACGTGGATTTGTCTTCTATTAGAGCTGAACTAATGACAGTTTCTTTAAGTCCTAAGACTGGCAGGCACATCAGAGTTCAGGGAGTTGATCATTGAAGGATGTTCCAAATCCATTATTGCAGGGTTGAGGGGCTCTATGGAGCAGTGTTTTAAAAGGCGTGGGAGGCGTATGCCTCAGGTGCAAGAGGCGTATGCCTCATGTGCTTTTTTCATGAGGCGTTCTAGAGGCGTACGCCTCATGTGCCTCATGCACATCTTATGTAAAAAGACAGAAAAAAAAGAAAAAAGAAAAAAAAGGAAAGGAAAGGAAAGGAAAGGAAAAGAAAGGGAAGGGAAAGAAAAAGAAAGAGAAGAGGAAAAGAGAAAAGGAAAGAAAAGGAAAGGGAAAGGAAGAAAAGATAAGGGGAAAGAAAGTGGTTTGCCCCTTGCCCCTTTGGCTGGGGGGCTTCGCCCCCGAGACCCCCCGCCCCCTTTTTGATGCAGCCCAATTTGGTTTTTTGAGTTAGGGGGGTCTTGCTCCACTAAACAGCGAGCGAGCTCGCCTTTGCTTCAACAAGACC